GCGCCTTCGTCGGCCGATTGCGTACAAAATGGCCGCTGGCTATAAAGAGTGCTGGGACACCCGATCACCGACTCACTGATGATATGTACACTCGTCGCTTGCATCAGCCTTCTTCCGATTCCCAAGCGCCACAATGGATTTGAGTCAAGCCGATAGCCCTGATGTGCCCGAGGACCCGGCGGATATCGAGACCTTCCCCGACGTATGGTTCTATCCGGAACAGCTCCGAGATGGCCTTGACGCACCCGATCTCTCCGAGGAAACTATCCAGGAGGCGCTTGCCTGCGCCTACGAATATGCCAGGAGTGTCATACCCGAGTGGAGGGACTATGCGAAATACATGGCATTCACAAAAACCATTGTGATCGCCGTCGTCGCAGAGTTCCGCGGCGACTTGGTGCCGCAAGACGGCAGCAGTATCGTCCTCGGCTACGATCTAGAAGGGCTTCTAGACAGTCTGTTTGGTAGCGACACCGAGCTGCGCGCCGCCATGTCTCGCGAGTTTCGAGCTTTCCTGCTCCTCTCCGTCGAGAAATCTAGCAAAAGACTCGACTCGGAATTGTTCCGTCGCTATCTATGCGCGCTAACAGAGTCGCCCCAGACCTGGTTCCGGCTCCGCGACTGCGACGCCCTGGTTCGGTACACAATCGCCAGTGCACTATCGTGCAACGAGTCTGTCGACGTCATTTTCAGTGAGGAGCAGTGGCGGCTTATCGGAGAGCTGTGTTGTACGCTGTACGACGCCGTCGCTTTCCACAAGCATCGAGCGGAGGGCGAGACCAACAGCACCTTCGGGTATTTCGACGCCCACACGCGCGTCAAGAGCTACCAGCTATACCGTATGGTTCTTTGGGCTATCGACGTCCCATGGGCCACCCATCCCGCCAAGCGCTGCGTCGTCAATTTCTTGCGTTTCTTCGGAGGCCCTCTCCATATGATGACGCGGAGGTACCGCTTCGTCGAGGATGGACTGCGTATCGGCAAGCCGGAGACGGAGCAAGTGGTAGAGCTAACCCGTGCCAACTTCAAACTCTGGAACAGGGTCGAGGAGACGGCCGCACAGCTGAAATATGACGGACGGTACGCAGACTTTGTTGCGCAGTCTGACAAGCTAATGTTCGATGGATTCTGCGACCTTCTACAGCGCAGTGGCAGTCGAGAGTGTGCCAACTGCACGTCCATGGGAGCAAGCACTACCAAGAATATTCGACAATTCGGAGGCATCCAGCTGTGCAGGCCGTGCAAGGAGAAGTGGGGTCTCTCTATGGCAGTATTCCCAGAGAGGTTCAAGACAGCTTTTCCGGAGACACAGAACGCGATTACAAAACTGATAAACGGTCTCTAATTTGGCCGCAACCCGAGCGATTTGAATTGGGAAGGGCTTGGACATGAGTTTGAACATTTCGTCGCAACATGGTGCGGATGTGCCACCCAGTCAGAACAGGGCGTTGATAGGCGCAGTCCATAGGTCCGAGAATACATGAAAGGTACCTAATTCCCTATGACTTTCTGTTCCAGCTTCCCTTGTCAAATCTTCCAGCCAGCATCTTGCACTCCTCTATCACTGCCATGTTGATCGCCACACATCCGTCCCTCCTATGCAGTAGATGCGGCTGGACACGGTTGCTCACTACATCTAACTATGAGACTATGTCCCGCCTGCTGCACCCGTGTCTTATCGTAACCATGGCTGGCCTGATAGAAGGCATCCCCTTGGAAACGATGATATCCTGTAACGCCGTGGGACTCACGGCGGCCCTGATAACCGTTGTCGTGTATGTCCAATATTCCGGGCCTGCTCTGGGCCTCGCGGCTCTCGCTCTGATGGGTGCATTTGCTGTGGGCTGGGTTCCCTCTATTGACATCTTACAAGAGAACAACAGATAGGAGCATCCAGTTCTGCCTCGATCGATATCCCCGTAGCCCGGAGCCAAATAGTTGAGCAACCTTGCGTCTAGACAGTTCCCGTTCTCTCCGTCACGCACACCGCGTGATCGATGAGATGCCACATCTCCACAACGTGCGCGATAGTAGGGTCTTTGCCGTATTTGATGATTGTGGGCCGGCGGGATGGCTGTTGTTGCGTACAATTGTCTAAGCACGTAGTCCTTATCCTCTTTGATTCAAGGGGAAGCCACCGAGCGGTCTCCTTTGTTACTGCTACGCTAACTAATGCAGCAGAGTCGAGACACCATCATAGCCGCCCTCCTTATCTGTTGACCTGGCGCCTAGATCTCCAATGCTGAACTGATACCAAAAGCCTTCAATCCATCCTCTTCTTCACATAGACCGGCCACGAGTGCGTCAGCGCGGTGAAGTTAGCCTGGTAGCTCCACACGCTATCCGGATCCACCTGACGGATGTCGTAGCAGTGGATCAGAGAAGCTACCACTTTAGAGACCTGCATCAGCGCAAGGTGACGCCCCGGGCACGTCATGAACCCAGCGGAAAACTTGTCACCTTAGCTCTTGGCACCGCGTCCGTAGATCGTGTGATAACTTACCACCAACCAGTTTTTCTCCATCTCCTTTGTATAGCCAGACATCCAGCGTTCCGGGCGCCATTGGTGAGCATCATCTCCCCAGATATCCGTCGATAAGTGCACTGCACTTGTGGGTGTCAGCCTTCAGTGGTGAACTGGCTCACTAACAGCGCGCAAACCTACTGCGAAGAAACACTGAGAGTGGTGCCCTCTGCGAAGTGTCGGCCTGCGATAGTGATGCCGCCCTTCGGGACCTTACGAGGCAAACCCATGGTCGTTGGGCTAAACAAGCGCAGCGACTCCTTTACGCAAGCTTGTACATAAGGCAGGCTCTGGGCGTCGTGCGACGAAACAACGCGATGTTGGCAGCGCCCTTGGGCACGAGCGGCATCGATCTCGTCGCGGGCCGTCGACCAAGCCTTGGGATGCCTGATCATGTGATACACAACGCTCTGAATAGCAGCTTCAAGGCGGAGTCAGCGCGGGGCTAAGAAAGAGGAACTGGGATAGGTACTGGAAACGGGCTCCGCCCCTGCGCCCACATTCACATTCGCCTGCGCCTCGATCTCCCGTGCGCTTAGTGTCCCTGATACTTCGGAAGCGCGAAGCCAGTGCGAGAGCATGTCCTTCCCGGCATTAGGGCTGCTCATCCGCTTTCGCAAAGCCACTGACGTGGTCCTGTACAGTCTGCCCATCGGCAGCAGCAGCATCCAACTAGTTAACGGGTTGACGAGGATGCGCAGGGGCACGAGGAAGAAACCAGCGGCGGCTGCGAATTTGCTGAGCGCGACGTTGTTCCGCAACGTTCCGCCTACATCGCGGCCCTGCTGCCGTCAGCTCAAAGTCGTGGAGGGACTCTAGCCATGAGCATGGTCACTAGCAAGGACGACAACCTCCGGCTACTGTAGAGTATTACGTACCGCTTTGATGAAACCAAACGGCTCCGAGAAAAAGACGGAGCCTATGTTGTCGAATGTCGTGTACGTGATGAACTTATCAAGGTGCATTGGCTTCTCGTCCTCGGCATAAGCGTCTATCCAAGACAGCAAGCACTCGATGTTCCCGTTGATATCGGACTCCCATCCCCGGACCTTCGACGGGGCGTATCCTGGGGCAAAGTGTTTCGAAAGCGCCTTCTTCTTCCGGGGATCGGTCGTCGACATAGGGTTCCGGAAGCGGAAGTCGGGCACTGCCGTGACGTGGTACCAGTCGCCCTGCAGGGGGTTACTCAGTTATCCGCGGGCAGACCATGCACTTGTTCGGACCGACCTTGTGTAGATTGGCTCGCAAAAGGAGCGTGGAGGCATCTCGGTGACAAACGCTGATCTCGTTCGGGGCGATGCGAACGAACGGGCCATACCGTTTGTGGAGAGCCACGAGACGCTCGTTCTGCCTTCCTTCGAGGATGATCCAGACATGCCATAGCCGAGTGAGGGAGGCCCAAAACGGGCCCGGAATGTTCGATATGGCAGAAAGATAGCGACGGCGCACGATAGTGGTTATCAGGGTCGCCGTGAGTCCCACGGCGAGGCTTGACCAGGTGATCAGCGCCCCCCAGGGGATAGCGTCTATCAGGGAAGACATGGTTATGATAAGACACGGGTGCGACAGGCGGAACCCTACTGAACTGTTGGATACAGTAGTGTCAAGAAGAACGATAAACTCACCACAGAACGGTCTTTTAGTGCACTCTTAAAAAATCCTCATGTGGTCCTGATCTGCCGACCTTGGCCCCATTTTCGACCATTTGCTGCCAGGAGGTCAAACTCGCCGCTCACAGTGGCCGCCGCTGGCTACGAGGCAGAAAGACAAGATGGGTAAGGTGGGCGTGCCAGCTCTGGCGAATCGCTCCGCACAATTTTGGGGCGTCCAAGAATGGGCAGTATCCCTACTCAATCTGGTCACGCACAATATCCGTCTTCTGCCTTTGTGGCCAGACGCTGGGTTTGCCACTAAGCGAAGGTATGTATTGGGCAGCCGGCGGAACCCCTGCACGGGCCCCGCCTTCCTGGTGATACCACGTCACAGCCGGACTTGGCCACGGCGACCTGAGTCAGGGAGATCTGGCTTTGATGAGGCTGCCGATCTGGCATAGTGGAGACTTCGAAAAATAAACGCGATGCTGGCGGCGTCGTCAGCCGACTCGAACTATGCATTTCGCTTGTGTGGCACGATTTGGTGCAACGCACAGGGTCCCCTATGTAGACTGGCAGATACCTGCAGCGCTAGTGAGCCCGTCCAACCTAATTGATTCTGATGGCTCACACCTGTGTGTGCAACGACGAGCAACAGGGGTCTCATGCAGCGTCCACGCCCTCACGGAAGTGTTGGCCGCTGCTACCAGGCTTGCCTATTGAGGTAAGGGGGTGTTTGTTCTTGCCGAGCCATCACACCCTCTCAACTCTAGTCTCGTGTGATGGCTGCCACACGGCAAGAAATCCCCAGACAGGTACCCGCAATAATGGCGGAGCCGCCACACCCTCTCGTCTCAATTCTTGTGTGATGGTCAATTATGGCTGCCACACTGGAAGGACATCAACCATGGGTGGAACCAGAATCCAATGGTCACCTGCGAGTAGCGAGAACGAGCTAATACAGAAGGCAAAAGAAGAAGCTAGGATGACGACGAGAGAAGACGTCACCCGGTCGGAGCAGTTCCCTGCTATGAAATTAATAAGCCTAAACATGGCCCGACAGAAGCAACCTGCGACCAACTGCCCGACAAGGTTGGCAAGTAATCGAAGCGAATCGACGTAGCGCTACCAGGGAAACACACCAAGGTAAAGTATGATCAGCTCGGGCGCAAAGAGGCTAGTATACTTGTGCAGCTGCGGACGGGCATGGCAAGAGTAAACGACTATACACCACATCCAAGCGGCACTATATGATCTACGTACCTGCAGACGGACCCGAGAAACGATAGAGCACGACACAGGACTAGTAGATGCTTCAATCAATGTGGCAGATGAGCTTTGGTGCAGCAGCAGAGCAGCATGCAGCAACTATATCAACATCCTCCGGCGGATATTATCATCCGCCTGGGTCACGGGTCCTCTCCGCTCTCCATCATACCTGGGACCTCAAGTAGTACGACGGCACTCACGAGATCTGGCATCCAATGGCATTACAACGGCAGGGTGTCTGGGTATTTAGGCTTCGCAGCTCCACTAGATTTCAGGGCATCCTTCCGTCTTTGTCCGCGTTCCCGTAGCTGTTCTTGTCGTTTCATCGCTAAAGAAAGTCAGCGAAAACTTTTATCGTTCGGCACCGCTAAACGTACCCCAAGCGCGCGCCTGGCTTTGCACCGAGGGATGAACCCAGCTGTACAAGGCAGCCCTCTCCGGATGCCGACGTGCGAGACCAACGTCTTCATCCGGCGGTGCTTGCGCGCCTTTGAGATTGAATTGCAAAGGTTTCGTGGCGTCTCTCTCACCGAAGAGAAGGAAACCCTCGGCGTCCCACATAGGGATATGCATGTTAGTCCGGTAGTAGCATCCTTGGAGGCAAGGAACAGTTCGTTCCTGCCGGAAGGTCATCGCAAAAGCGTCTCTGACTTTGTTCCAAGACCACTTCATCTCGTGACGGGCATAGATAATGAAGTCGGACTGCTCGACTGTGTACCTTTTCCCATGCGCTAGGGAACGACCGCGGCGCAGAGACTTTTTCCGCTTTGTGAGCAATTGGACGCCTGCATCAAATTCGGCAAGGCTTGGAAGCCGACCAGGCAAGAAACTGCTCATTGCGTGGGTTTGTAGGTGGAGAATTGTCGTCGCTCATAGACCGGCCCTATGTAGTCTGGGTACAGTAGACAGACAATGACAAGTTGCAAGCCTGACCAGAATTAAATAGTATCGAACACAATGCCCCGGGGTGTGCTCCCTGGGGCCATCCATTTGTGGCCGCTCCTTGAGTATGACGCGCGGTCTTGGTACAAGGAAGCAGGCTGATGCGGACGATGAGCGGACATGTCATCAGTGAGTCGACGACCAGATGTTTCAGCATTCTTCATAGTCAACGGCCACTTTGTAAGCAATCGGCCGCCGCTGCAAGCTCCCAGCCTCCTTGGACTTAGTTGAGATCGAGCCTGGTGACCGAAACGTGCCGCATTCTCCCCCGTCCAGAAGGTCGTCGGTGCCTGCGTGCTTGTTGTGGACCACCACTTCCATGAAGCTTGGGCACTTCCACTCATTTACTGATGCTTGAGGAAACCCGCTCCCTGTGACCCACTGTGACTGCCACACGGCAAGCAGCCAAATCACACCCACTCGGATCCAGCCGCCTCTTGCGCTCCACTGTGGCTGCGAGCTTGCAGGGAGCGGTGCTTGGCATCCTAGCCGGAGGTCACAGAGAGCTTGGCAGGGGGGGGGCCAAGCCAGATGCTGGCGGAGCATCACACCCTCTCAGTGTGATGGCTGCCACACGACAAGAAATCCCGAGGCAGGTACCCGCAATGATGGCGGAGCCGTCACACCCTCTCGTCTCAAGTCTTGTGATGGTCAATTGTGGCTGCCACATTGAAAGGTCATCAGTCATGGGTAGCCTGGCCCGGACAGGAGCCCCCAGGCAAGGCATCATACCCACTCAGATCGTGGCTGCGAGCCCCAGTGGAGCGGCTAGATAGACATGACGGCTCTCGGAGCCAAGTGGCTGCTTGGAAATGACTGGGCAATGAGGCCTCTCCCATTAAGTCAGGATCACGCGTCATGCTCTAAAATAGGGCCAAGAAGGATTGACCTAGGCAGCACAGTACTTTAGCAAAGGTAGAGAAGATCTCGCAGAGTAGTGGATGTCGAACCTGAGCCGTAAGCAATAGCCCAGTGTTCGCCCGAGTTTCGCCCATGCTGTTTGGGTTTGGAGATGGGTTCCCCAACCCATGGCTGTAACCCTACACACTAATCTCGCATTCCGTCATGATTTCGGCGCGAAATGACTAGTCGTGTCCGTTTCTGTCCAATGGAAGCCTTGTCCCAACGTCTCTATTTTGGTATACAATGATTTGCTAGGAGAAGATGGACATCCTTGCATCGTATGGTCCAACAGTGGCTAGTACAGGCCGCTAATCTGAGACGATCGAGTTGCATCTGGCTTCTACATGGCATCCTGGGAATTTCCCATGTCGTGGACGGCCCTTGTACCCCGCGCACGCCCTGAAGATCTCCTCCCGTCTGGTTCGTTCCCAAAATGGCCATGGGTGTGGACCGTGATGCACGTATCGCAGCCATATCGACAATCGCCTGCCCAGTGCTACGGTACTCCAGCCGGAATATAACGTCTATAGTTAAGTATAAACTGAACATGGGCAACGTTCAACCATCAACAAGTACTGAGGCTGATTACACGGCGCGATTGACACCAAAGCTAGCAAGATGTCCGCCATTGACATGCAGCTGATGAGTAGCTTCCTCCGGGCAACTGCCTCATTTATTGTCATCTATCAACGCAATGCACATCGCTTGGCGCACGTCGACAATCGCCTGACAGCAATTCTTCTCCTCAGTCAGTCCACGATGCATGAATTGGAGCGAGAACTTCGTGCAACTGGCACAAGCCTGTCTCCACCAGACTACGCCGCTTGTGTCGCTGACTCGGCCAACGACCAAACACAGTTGTCTGCCCCTGGCATGCCACTTGTGCCTAGAACTTCTGGACCGCTTGCAGGTGGGCTATGCGTAGCCAAAGGAACCCCTTGGTTAGAGCCCCACGACGTTGTGCCCACGCGTTCGGCTGGGCCCGATGACGACGGTACTCTTACCAGCCATTATCCCCAGTGTGGCTCTCCCATCACGCCATCGATTGACCAGATACCTCATGCAGTACCGCCACAGGTGTGCGACCCGGTGTGTGGTGGGGGAGACGAGGGTCCGACATGGCATGAGGAATTGACTGGCCTCCAGCAGAGCGACAACCCATCCCCATGCAGTGATTGCTCGTGTCACAGCATTGAACGACACGATACAGCGATGGAGTCGTATTCCGATGAGGTTGAGAGGTGCGGCATCGTTGATTTAGTCCCTGTCGCTCAACAACACCAGGGCTGGCACCTAAATGGCAACCATGAAGCATCGAGCTCGTTTTCAAGCCCGATATGTTCTCAAGAGCCACTTTCAGCACATTATCGAGATAAACCCGTGTTCGATCCCCCTAGCTACACGGTAGATCAGCACGTTACGGAGCTCGAGGCGCCACACACGCTACTCCCTATAGCCTCTTTGGAAGACACTTCGCAGAATTGGGATGAGAATCATCTCATTGCCCCGATTGCGACAGACCCCGCTCGTCTAAACAGTCCGCCTAGACGAGGATGTACGACTCTGCCTCCCATCAGCCGCCGACACGTTCCGATATCTGTGAAGGAAATCAGAACGCCCGAAAGTGACGAACCCTATGTCCAGCACGGCAGCTCGAGGCGGTGGGTGCAGAAAGTCACCGGAAAGACATTGAGAATACACAGCACAGGCTTGGGAAAGTCAACCGTCGTGGAGGTGGTTTGTGGAAATAGTGGAGAGTCTGTCGTGTTGCGGTGCCATGCCTATAAGAGGTGGAAATGGCGAGGACAATACCGCGGTGGGTGGCTTGCGGTAGAGCTCAAGGCGTTGCTCAAGACGATTCGCAACAAGTCTGACGAGCAGATATACGGTGTGCATCTCCACGCTCAATAGCGCAGGGAGAAATAGCTTGCTCTGACTTGTATGTGGCCGTGTTATATATAAAAGGGATGGCATCGCGTAGACACCTGATGGGTAGATTGCATAGGTACAACAGCCAATCAAGTTTTCCTGCACGGTCAAATGCCCCTTACCTGCTCGGCATGCTAGTCCCACACTGCTCTAGTCAGATGTAGTCGAGACGACACAATCAGTCATACTGGTGCTAGGAAAACGCATCGGAGGGCGACCATCCTACAGGGGTGCTAACATGGCATGCGGCGACTACACTCCTTCCCATGAATGGTGTCACGAAAGTAGACATGAAACTAGGAACAAGCTGGCGACTACGGTATATTGAAGCGAGGTTACTACATGCTAACTTGAGGACTCTCCAGGGAAGTCCCAACCCAAACCATTTCAGGTATCATAGGTTATGCTCCTCCAGCAGGGCGGACGAGGAATCGTCTCTCAGAGCGCACTTTGCACCTGCGCGGTAAATAGAAGTGCGGATAATGCAATCCATGACACGGACAGTCGGTGGGAACCTGAGGTAGAGCTTCCGCCTAGCTGTAGGGGAGTGAAGGTGGCCGTCGGAATGGAGGTGCCGCCTGGACTAGTGATCGTGGGAGTTGTGCCGTTTGACGGCCATCTGACTTGTGCGCTCTGGAGCGCCATGGATGAGACGGTGCTCTCCGAAAGCGCTTGGTTTCCAAAAGGTGAGCTATT